TTCTATTTTCCTGAGTTTTATTCCTCCTCTTCATCTGCTGAGATGGTGGTTTCAGATCACAGGGAGACAAGTCACTAAATTAAGTTCCTTGTCTCCCTGTGATCTGAAACAACCATCTCTGTTGCCGTCATCTTAGTTATTTAAGCTTTTTATTTATTAAATAAATAAAAATAAAAACAAATTAAAATATTAAAAATATTTAAAATTTTAAAATATGTAAAAAATAAGCTATTTATTTCTTTAATTGTTGAAATGGATTAATGCAACTAAACAATAAAGCTTATATAAAGCTATTGCTGAGAAAAGCAATATCTTTGCAATCATTTTTCTCTGGATGGGGTGGCAATTCCTCAGATAGATCCAGTTCGCAACAGGGGTTCATCTAGATTTGAAACTCCTGCTTAAGGAGCAGGTGGCAGTTGCAGCTAGGAGAACCTTTGCACAACTTTGTGTTGTGCACCAGTTGCTGCCTTTCCTGGATCAGGATTCCCTGCACTCAGCCGTTCAGTCCCTAGTCATCTCATGGTTGGACTAATGTAATGCGCTCTACTTGGGGCTACCCTTGAAGAGTTTTCAGAGGCTACAACCTGTGCAGAGTGTGGCAGCATGGGCAGTTTTGGGTGCCCCAAGAATGGCCCCTGTAACACAACTGCTCTGCGAGTTGCGTTAATTGCTGGTCTGCTTCTGGGTGAAATTCAAGGTGTTGTGATCACCTTTAAAGCCCTTCATGGCATGGGTCAAGGTTATTTGAGGAATTGTCTCAGTCCCCTGGGATTGGCTCATCCCATTCATGCTGGCAGAGGTGGCATTCTGCAGGTCTCATCAGCCCAATTATTCCAGCTGCAACATCCCATCTTTTCCCATTCTGTCCCTGCCCTCCCGGGTCCTTGATTTTAATCTCTGGTTTTAATTTATTCAGGTATTAACGTAGTTATATTTTTATAACTGTAAGCTGCCCAGAGTTACTTTATGGTAAAATGGGTGACCAACAAATTTTATAAAAAGAGAGAGAGAGATGACAGATAGATAGACAGATAAACGTGATTGCAGTTTTTGGTCCCTATACAGAAAAATAAATGTTTAATTTCCATTGAAATAAATAACATTTTATTTCACCTGGATTATTTCCTTAATCCCTTCCTATAATTTGATTCAGAATAATTTTTTAGTTGATGTATATAATGAGAGCAATTAAGCCTCTTGGAGCAATTGGAACATCCAATGCATTTAGTTAAAAATGCAACTAAACTATGTAACCAAAAGAAAACAAAAGATACCTTGGCAGCAAATCAAATTCATCAAAAACTTCACAGATCAGGGGTTTTTTCCTGTCTCCCCATCCCTACTCTTATTCTCTCTCTCTCTCTCTCTCTCTCTCTCTCTCTCTCTCTCTCTCTCTCTCTCACACACACACACACACACACACACACACACACACTCAGCAAAATCCAAGAGAGTGGTAGCTTAACTGCAGGTAGTCCTCGAAGTACAATTTGTTTAGTGACCGAAGTTACAATGTCGCTGAAAAAAGTGACTGTTCACACTTATGATTGTTGCAATACCTTCAAGGTTATTTCATTAAAATTCAGATGCTTGGCAACTGACTCACATTTATGATAGTTGCAATGTCTTGGGATCATGTGATCACCTTTTGTGACCTTCTGACAAGTGAGGTCAATGGGGAAATCAGATTCAATTAATAACCATGTAACTAACTTAACAACTGCAGTGATTTACTTAACAACTGTGCAAGAAAGAACATAAAATGGGGCAAAACTCACTGAAAAACTGTCTCACTTAGCAACAGAAATTGTGGGTTCCATTATGGTTGTAAGTTGAGGACTATCTGTATTTTCTTTAAGCAATGAGTTCCACAAAGGAGAGAAGGCTGTCCAGGATACAAAATAAAGCTCAATTATTTCTTCTACATCTTTTGTGAATTAGAGTGTGCTCTTGAATTCAGCAGCGGCTGAACTTGTAGAATTACAAGATCTGTTTGCAAGTTATTTCTTCTAATATTTTTGTTTGTTTGTTTGTCTTTCTGCCATTTTGTTGTTTTTTGAATCTTGAATTCAGAAACCTAGATCAAAATTCTGTAACTCAGGCCTGTGAACCATGGGAGCATTCTCTGAATCGTTGTCAGTTATATACTCCATCTACATAGAATCACTTTTTTTTCATGTTCTCATACTCTCCAAAAATCTAGAATAAGATCTCAAGGTTTTTCCAGTGACATCATGTGCCAGACTTACCTCCTTCTTTTTTGCCACTTATACATCCCAAAGAAAGTTTCAGTGTCTTCCCTTTCTCCCAAAGGAAGAATCTTGACATGTAGAAGATGTCATGGACATAGCATGTGGATTGACCTAGTATTTGGAACCTCTTCCCCTTCTTCCTCCTTTCCCTTCTCTTTCTTGCTCACTCGCTCTCTCGTTCTCTCACTCTCCTTGTTATATAGCCACTTCTATCCTAATCTCTTTTTAATGAACTTGAGTGATCTTGTATCCTGTATCTCTTCAGCAGCCAGGACTGCTCAATTTTCACTAGTTATCTTTCTTCTCTTCCTTCTCCCCAGTTTCCACACAAGCTACTTTACACCAGGATCTAGTTCTTTTCAATTTCCCTCATTCTTTGTGAAACCCTTTATTTTTTAGTAACCTTAATTAAAAAACATATTTTAACTGTTGGGATGGCTGGAAATACAAACTGTGATTGATCCTTTATTACTTAAAAAAAAACTATATGATTTTTTGAGGCCACTTAGCAGCTTCAAAAGCTGCCACAGTTATTCCTACCCATCCTGAAAAGTAAATGTGTCAAGAAGTGACTCGTAAAGAGTTTTCCTTTTCTTTGGTTTGTATAAAGATAAATACAGCCTATGATGATCATAAGAGTTCCTTGGGAAAAGACAGGGAGATTCTAGAATGTGGATGTTTTTTCTATAATATTTCAACATTATCTTATTACTTTATTAATTTTTAATATATAAAAGCAATCACATTATTAATAAATTATGTAGTTTCAAGATAAATAATTAAATATTTTTGGCAATCCTAACTAATCTTAAGGTCTTCGGGGGGGACAAATATCTTTGCTCTGAATTTAGGGCAATCCTTGAGGTCTACTTATAAACCTATGGATATTGAATGTATTAAGAAAATGCCTGTACAATCAATACCAAGTTGGTAATCTGAGAAGTGTGATGCTGTGGGCAGAATGCCATTGAAACATAAAGTAAGATAGGGTTTGGCTCATGTTTGATAGTACCCTCATGTAAATAAAACTTTAATTTTTAATAAAGTAGCCAAATTGGATATTGCAAGAAAGAAAGAAATAATGTGATTGCTTCCTATTTGAATAGTTTGAATAATTTTTATTATTTCTACTGTAGAATGATAGCTATAAATTCACCACAGAGAGATTTTGTAAGGTCCTACCTCAGCTATCCCCTCAGGAAAGCATGACTCTTGAAACAGGCATTGTTTCAAAAAGGATCTTTTACTGAGTGAAAGTGATTGCAGAGAAGAAAGGTGGAATCTGAAGTTCCCACACAAAAGTGTTGAACTAAAAGTCCAATTTTTCCAGCCCCATCCCCAATGCCCCAATCCACTGGCATGAAGATGTTTTGAGAACTTCAAACTGAAAAAGTGATAACCGGCTGTTCTCTGGTGCTTCTTCCTTGGTAGCTGGCAGGAATTAAAACAGATAGCTCTGAGAGTTTTCCTCCCTCTCTAATTCCCCTGCAGATACATCAAAGTGAAAGTAGAAAGAATGCAGGAACATCCTCAATCCACAATAGTACGTGTTCCCCCTCCCCTTTGGAATGGCAACATTCCGTTAGGGACCTGACAACTCTGAAAATAGATTTGGTTGTTTTACCAGATCTCACCAGAGATACTTCTGACATATTTTTTTCTGAAATAGAATAAAACATAGAAACATGCTAGAATTCTGAAGAAGTCTCTTAAAATGTGTATACTGCTCCTTTTACATTATCTTTACTCAGTGCTTTTTTTCTATAAAAAAAAAAAAGATGCCGGAACTCACACACATCATACAACCCACCTTGCCTACCCTACAAGGTTCCATCCAAAAAAGGTGCTGGAACTCTGTTCTGGGTATTCTATGAGGAAAAAAGCCCTGTCTTTACTTAGCATTTATCCTCCCATTTTTAACATTACCCTTTTCAGTCTTACTAAAACATAGCCGAATGATTTCAATGATTGATAAGCAGAGGGTGTAGTAACCTTTGTAAAGCCAACTGGAGCCTTTAGGAAAGCATCAGGCTTGGGCTCAGACTCAAAGCAAGGGCTCAACTGTAGGTACTTGCCTAATATTTAACTTTAAAATATTAGAATTTCATCTCATTCTTTGAGGTAACACTTTTTTTTTAAGTACCCGGAATTTTCATTCATACTTTGGCTAGATGCCTGAAACCTGGAAAAAGCCTGGATCATTTAGAACAGGGGTGTCAAACTCACAATGTCATTTGACATGTTGTGATGTATCGTGACTTTTTTTCCATTGCCAGCAATGGGTGGGCGCAATTTCACTATGATGCATGTGGCCTGTGGGCCGGCAGTTTGACACCCCTGTTTTAGAATCTCTGAAAGAGACTGAAGGCCACAGCTAACTTTATATTTTTGCATTATGCATCTATTGGTAGATAAATTTAAAAATATACAAATTGAAAGTCATTCAGGAAGTGTGAACATTATAATCCCAGCCTCATAAAACATGGAGATGCTAATTTATTTTAACAAAATGGGGACCTTTTTTAATGTCTGTTTACTCACCAAGATATTAAGCCAGGATATAATCTGCAGGTAAAATGGCTTATGATGAGAGGAAAGAAAAGAGAAATATACCAATCCATTGCAATATAATGTATGAAGCTGTGAATCACATTTGCCCATGTCTTTAAAAACAGCATCTATACCATATGCTTATCAAAATATGTCATTTTTTATCTTAGTATTCTCTGTTTCTTCTTCCACCAGATGTTGGAGCCTTTTTTGAAGAAGGAATGTGGCTCCAGTATAATTTTTCATCTGTAGGAAATAATATGAAGGATTCAGGGAGCAAAACTCCCTTGAGCTCCAAAGAATCAGAGAACTTTGTATCAGACCTCAGTCTCAATAAAGAAGAAATCAGTTTTAGCTTCAGCACTAGCAAAGCTCCTTGTATCCTGCTTTACATCAGTGCTTATTCTCAAGACTACATGGCAGTGCTAGTGACTCCAGCTGGTAAATAATTTGTCCTTTTTTTCCTGCTATTTCACCTCTCCAACATACTGCAAAAAAATTGATGGTACTTAAAAGTGATATTTGAGAACATGTTTTGTATATAGGACAAGAAAAAGCCAGGAGAGACCCATAGTTACCCTTTATTTACTGCTGAATTCTCACACAGTTGTCTCTGTGGGATGAAAACTATTTCTTGGATTTCAACTCATTATAACAACCAGTGGTGATAGTACAATGTCAGTCTTGCTTGATTTCAGAAGCTAAGAAGGATTGGCCCTGCTAATCAGAGGCAAAACAACCTTCCAGGACTATTGAAAAATTCTAGAAATTTTAGACCGTACAAGTGGTACTACAAGGCAACCAAAAAAAACCCTGCTTGAATGCAATAATCAGGAGTTCAGCATGCTTTAAGTTAATTTTACATAATATTCTATAATGTGAAGGGTATAAAAATTTAAAAGTAGGATTTTTAATGGAATAATCTAAGAATGAAATAAAAATAACTCAATTATTTATTACTTCATTCTGTAGGAAGTTTACAGGTTCGATACAAACTTGGAGGTGCTAAAGAACCATACAACATCAATATAGATCACAGGAATATGTCTAATGGGCAGCCACACAGTGTGAATATCACGCGGGCAGGAAAAGACATAATTCTCCAGGTAAATGCATAGCAATAACTTTATAAGTGATGAAGCTGAATAATAACATCACTGCTAAGTATTAAATATCCTGGGAAAATGCAAATTTACAGACTAAATGGAGACAAAATGTGGAGAAATCTTAAGTAATATATGAATGAATTATATATGAAACATTTATTCCATTTTTAAAATAGAGGATTAACATTGATCAATAGATTTTTATTACTTATTTCCTATCATTTTTTTCAAGCAAGAAAGAATTTGGCTTATGTTTATAATTGCATCACAGTACAATTGAATATCAAAGAAGGAATGAAAATTGTGATTTATTTATTCTACAGGGCTTGGAAAAGGTTAAAATTTTAATTTTTATCATTATATACCATTATTTTAAAAAAGCCTTAATATTTGACAGTGAAAATTATGTAGAGCTTCAGAGCAATTGTTTCATTTTGCTTTATTTTATGTGAACCTAGCCTCTCTCCTTCCTAGTCTATTTCATGTTTTCTAAAGCTAAATATGATTATTCTGTGTCCCTTGTCAGATTTTATTTAAAGAAATATTATATTTATTATTCAATTATTCATTAGATTTAAATCCCACCTTTCCTACAGAAATATTACTGTGATACAGAATCATAATGTGCATAAACACTACCATAGTACTGAATTTTGAGTTTACAACTTTTTATAGTATAGCATATATTTAGATATTCTTGCCAAAGAAATTTCTAAATATATTTTATATTTTATTTTATATTCATTATCTTCATAGATATTTTTACAGATTTTTTCTAGATCATTTTTCTTTTTTAAAAAAAGTTGTTAAATGCAACATCTTTTAAAATCTCAAACTACAATTAAATTTGCTTATTTATTTATTAACCATTTTATATCACTCAGAAGACTCAGAATGGTGTACAATAAAATTATAAATTGCAACTATGCTATTACATGTCTCTGCAAGTAACACATCCATGTAGTATTTTGTCATTGTTAGTCATGCCCTTAAGTTTATTGAAAAAAACTATACCAAAAATGGGTGTAGTGCAAATCTTTCTCTTTTATTGATTTACTCCTTGACAGCCACGAGATGGCAGCTTATCACATCTTCCAAAAAGATTCCTGCCAGCATAACAATAACGTCTATATTTCCAGGCCAATCAGTCATGCTCCGAGTGCATTTTCCCAGAACTGTTGAGTCTGCCAGCCATTTCATATGGAGACAGTAGGGGAGGGTTTGGAACTGTTGAGCCTGTGAGATCTATGATATGCATATTAATCGTCCATATACACATTAGTAATGACTGTATTTATTTCCTTGAGAAAAGATATCCACATTCCTGTAATAGTGGAAAATAATAATATTCACAGGGATATTCCTGTAAATCCAATGGACAAATTTGCTTGCAATATCACCACAGTATACCGTAATAAACCAACTCTGATAGGTCTGTATAAAAATAAATGTTTTTTTTTAATGATGTTGACCATGGGATAACTTTTCTTTAAAAGTCAGATTGGTTATTAAAGGTTAATACTATAGTGTATTTTTGTCAAAGGATAACAACACACTGAATTTTTAACTTTGTATTTTAAAGTTTTCTAGCCAAGGTAATAATTTGCATCCAACTTTCTTCTTTATTTGTGGCATTAACCAATTTCAGCATTTGCCCAAGAATATCTAAATACTTTCGTATAGTTATATAAGCAAACTAAAATGTCAGTTTAAATATCAGAAGATTGCATTTATAACAATATACCAAAATTTATTGGGCTGTGAAATTTATACTCTTTTCTCTACATCCCTATTTCTAGCTCCTCTTCACCTCTAATATCAATTTATATTAAAGTGAAAAATATTTAAACAACTTTTAAATCTGAATTCAACAGATTTTATATATTTCTATGGTTCAAATAATAGAAATATCAGAGTATCCCAAAATAAATATGGGGTGTTTTTTATTTTGTAATAAAGAAATCCAAATTCAACAAATCAAATTTGTTGAAAACAAAAAACTGAAAATGAATTTTAAATGCTGTCTTTTTTCTCTTATTCTCATTTCAATTTTAGCAAAATTTGATATCAAATTTACCATTTGGATCTGTGTCAAATCTGAATAAATTTCTTTTTGCAATCTTCCAAAAATATAATGAGAGATTAAATAAATGTCTCTCACTTCAGCTTCTCATTTAATGGATAATACAAATTATTGTGTGTCTTATAGATGGACAACTGTATTAATCTATGGTGGCAGCTTATGAAAGCGTATGCCTTTTAATAAAATGTATTAGTCAGTAAAGGTGCTACTAGCCTCCTGATGGTTGTGATTTTATGTGACCAAGTGAATTTGAGGTGGAGTGGGATTATATGGATACCATATTTAGGAAGCACCTTTTCAAAGGAATAGCCTGATCTTGGTTCTCTAAGTATGACAATGGTGGTAAACTGCTTATGAGGGATGAAACAAGAACATCTGAAAGCATGTATATCATCAGGGAAGATCCATTTCAGTAATTTTATTAGCCTGCAATCTTCAAAGTATGACATCTTTGTTTTCATGTTTCTCTAGCTGGACCTTTATCCCCCAGTAAGCTACACCATACCAGGACCTTCGAGCCTTCAGTTCAGCTCATTGAAGTCACTCTTTCTAGGAAAAGTAATAGGTAAAAATCTCTTTCAGAAATTGTTTATGTTTATATGGATTCTGGCTTTAATTAGTACATTATTCAACTCTTTTTAATTATAAGTTATCCAGAGTTTAGAGTTAAACTCCAGTTTACAAAATAAATAAAACATACATACAATGCCAGTTGCTTTTCTGATATACAGTAAGTCCCATATATGATCAGATTTCAAAAAAAAAATCAATGATTTCAGTTTTTATTATTTTCATCCTTCACTCTTCAAAGGGCCTGCTTTGTTAAAGTAATTGTGATATAAAAATGGAAGTCAGATTTAATTTTTTAGTAAATCTGAAGAGCAAGGACTCCCTAGGAAAGAATAGCCCTTAACTCCATAGGTGTTAGAGAAAAGGTACTTTCACTAGAGGTGCTGAGTGCAGCTCGAGTGGAGGCAAGCTCTGAAGAAAAACTGTGCAAAAATCATATATTGAAAGCAATCCCCAATGTCCAAAACCCTGCCCCCAGTGAGAGTAGTCCAATCAGGCTCTGTTCCAATGTTTTGGGAACCTGGTGCCTCAGGCACCATTGTTAATTCCTTTCCCAGGGCTGAGGTTGGTTTGGCGCCTCTGGTTCCTGTTACTGTCCATACTCCCCAAATCCCCATAGCATTCTTTCATGCCTCCAGCACTCTTCCCCTCCCATATGCCTCGCCCCCTTGGTTATAGCAGTTGCTAGTGAGCTTCAAAGAAAGCAAAGATAGTCATCTGGCAGATAAAAAATATAAATAAATTATTAAATCAGCTCCTATCATTAAGCCACAGAAACTGACAATGAATCACTTCAATATTTTCTGAACCCTGCTGCAGGGCAGGAGAAAGAAAAAATAACAGCCATTACTGGGCAAGTAGGGGCAAATATATTTTTCTACTGCAAATCTATTGAAGCAGGGGCTGGAAGGCAAAGTTCAACAATGTGTACAGAGGAGGAGGAGGAGGCAACTTTTAGGATTTCGACATTATTTTTTTAGCAAATTAAAATTTATCTTAAAAGTTCTGAATGATTTGTGGTATACAAAGCTCCTTTTTTGATAACACTAAAGCAAGTGACCCATGTACAGATAGTCCTCAACTTACAACACTTCAGAGAGAGAGAGAGAGAGAGAGAGAGAGAGAGAGAGAGAGTCTTCTGGCTTGAAATTGTAAATTTTTAGTGATGATGGTAGTAGTGGTAGTGGTTGTGTTAATGGTAGTGGTGGTGATGCTGGTGCCAACCTTAGCATTCGGGGGTAGGCTGGCTGATAGACCCGTCTCCTGAAATGGCAAAGGTTGGAAGGCTTTCGGAGTTCGACGTCTCACATCCAGAGCGGTGGGAGTCCTACGTAGCCAGGGTGGAAAATTACCTCAAGGTGAACCAAGTGAGGGAAGATAGCTTGAAGGCTGCCACCCTGCTTTGTGTCTGCGGTCAAGACGCCTTCGAAATCGCAGAGAACCTTGCAGCACCTGTCCCGTTAGAGTCTGTCAGCTATGCAGATCTAAAGAAGCTATTGAAGGAGCACTTCCAGCCCAAGATGTCCGTCATCGCATGGCGCCACACCTTCGAGCAGAGGGATCAACGATCCGGAGAGTCGGCCAAAGAATACATCGCTGCATTGAGGAAGGCCGCCAAGCACTGCGAGTTCAAGGACCTCGAAGAACGACTGAGGGACCGATTCGTGTGCGGCTTAAGGCATCGAGATCTACAACAGAGGCTTTTCGCCAAAGAAGAATTGTCCTTCCAAGATGCCTTAAGAGAGGTCACCGCAGAAGAAGCAGCAGGTGGCGCCGTCAAAAACATGCGGCCGATCAGGAACAGTCCAGATGTTGCATCCGTGCACCAAGAGGATGTCCAAGGGAACTCCGAGGAGGATCCAGATGAGGAAGTCGACCGTCTCCACCCCACGAAGGAAGGGAATCAGAAAGGAAGCTCTGCAGTTCCCCTCAAGTGCATCGGCTGTGGAGGTCGCCACAGGAGGACCGACTGCAAGTTCCGCTCCGCTATCTGCCGGGCGTGCGGGAAACAAGGATATATTGCAGCTGTGTGTCTGGGCCGACGAAAGGTACAACCTCAGGAAGAACTGCGCCTGAAAGGTACCAGGGTCCCCAGCCAGATTAGGATAGGTTTTTGCGCTTCGCGAAGAAGCATCTTCAGGACAGGCATACACAAGCCCATCAAGAAAAAGCTGTCACTCAAGGTGAAGCTACAAGGGGTTCCATTAACTATGGAACTAGACACGGGGTCTGCCCTTTCAATCATATCCTTACATACATTTAGGAAGATTTGTTCCGGCAGTGGAACTCAGGCTAAATTAAGGCCTTCAGACATTGTGTTAACAGACTTTCAAAATTCGAGAGTGTGTGTTAAGGGGGAGGCCACCCTTAACGTACAGTATAAGAATTTTGAAGGTCCACTAGACATATTAGTAGTAGGGGGTGAACGAACGAGTCTCATAGGACTCGATTGGTTTGAAGCCTTGGGGATACACGTCACGGGGCTCAACAGCTTACAAACACTCGACCTACAGGAAGTCTGCAAAGAATTTGCAGATGTCTTCAGCCCCCAGCTGGGCACATTCAAGGGACCCCCTGTGTCCTTAAAACTAGACCCCACTGTCACACCCATTAGAATTAAAGCAAGAAGGGTCCCTTTTGCTTTAAAGAGTAAAATTGACACTGAGTTAGACAAACTGATCCAACAGGGAATCCTAGAACCTGTTGATTCCAGTCCTTGGGAGACCCCCATTGTCACGCCTCTAAAGGCAAATGGGGACATTCGCATTTGTGCTGACTACAAATGCACTCTGAATAAGGCATTGCAGCAACATGCCTATCCTGTTCCTGTGGTCAGTCATATTCTGGCCTCCCTCAAGGGGGGGCGCGTTTTTGCAAAGCTTGACCTAGCTCAAGCGTATCAACAGCTGCCTGTTGATGATGATGCTGCTATAGCTCAGACTATTGTGACCCACAGGGGAGCCTTTAAGGTAAAAAGGCTACAGTTTGGAGTGAATGTCGCTCCTGGGATTTTCCAAAGCGTAATGGAAAACACACTACGGGGCATACCGGGGGTTTGCCCCTACTTTGATGATGTCTTAATTGCAGGAGACTCCACACACATTCTAGCTGAAAGGCTAAGGGCTGTTCTGTTAAGATTCAGGAAAACAGGCCTCAAGCTCAAAAGAGACAAATGCAAAATTGGGGTGCCTTCTACTGAATTTCTGGGATTCAAAATTGATGCTGCTGGGATTCACCCTGCTGAATCCAAACTAACTGCCATTTTAGAAGCACCTAGGCCAAAGTCTAAGGCCGAACTTCAGGCCTTTCTGGGCCTCCTGAATTTCTACAATTCCTTTCTTCCACATAAAGCTAGTGTAGCTGAGCCTCTTCACAGGCTATTAGACAAACAAGCAGTGTGGCAATGGTCACAAACACATGAGGCTAGTTTCAATGAGGTCAAGGCCTTACTCACTTCTAACAGTGTACTTGCACACTTCAATGAGTCCCTTCCTGTGTGCATCGCTTGTGATGCTTCCCCTTACGGGGTAGGAGCTGTCCTGAGCCACCTCAGGTCTGATGGAACTCAGGTTCCTGTTGCATATTACTCCAGAACACTGTCTTCTGCTGAGCGCAACTACGCTCAGATAGACAGGGAGGCTCTGGCTGTTGTTGCTGGAATTAAAAAATTCCATGATTTCTTGTATGGCAGGCATTTCACGGTCTTCACTGACCATAAGCCTCTGCTGGGACTGTTTACCACACGTAAACAAACTCCCCAAATCATTTCCCCTAGAATGCTTAGGTGGTCTATTTTTCTGTCTGCATATGATTTTTCCTTACTCCACAAGCCTGGGAAAGAAATGGGCCATGCTGATGGCCTCAGTAGATTGCCCCTGCCAGTAGTAGAAGCTGACCCTGCGCCAGCTGTCAACATTCTATCCATCCAAGCCTTGCCCGAGTCCCCTCTGAATGCCAGGGATGTCGCCGCTGAAACAGGCACAGATCACACACTTTCACGTGTCCTTTCTTGGGTTTTGTCTGGATGGCCTGAGCACTGCCCTAGTCCTGAGTTTCAGAGTTTCTGGTCCAAAAGGAACGAGTTGTCCACTTCTCAGGGTTGTCTGCTTTGGGGAAACAGAGTTGTCATTCCCACCTCAATGAGGACTAGGATCTTAGAGTCCCTCCACGAGGGTCATCCTGGCATTGTTCGCATGAAGGCCCTTGCGCGCAGCCACTTGTGGTGGCCTGGTTTAGATAAGGACATTGAGGCTAAGGTGCATGCATGCCACCTGTGCCAGCGCTCTCGCCCAGAGATGCCCCAAGCTCCTGTGCATAGATGGGAGGATACACAGTCCCCATGGTCTAGGGTGCACATTGACTACGCTGGGCCCTTTCAGGGCCAGTTCTTCTTGGTCCTCGTTGACAGTCATTCAAAATGGCTTGAGGTTGTACCTGTCTCATCCACCACCACTGCAAAGACTATTCAGGTACTGAGGGGGATTTTTGCTGCACACGGGCTCCCAGATGTCATCGTCTCTGACAACGGCCCTCAATTTACTTCCTCCGAATTCCAAGCTTTCTTACAGGCTAACATGATTCGTCATGCCACGTCTGCACCCTTCCACCCGTCCACCAACGGTATGGCTGAACGCATGGTCCGCTTCACAAAGGACGCCTTGAAAAGACTCACCTAAGGGGACTGGCATCACAGGTTGGCTGACTTTCTCCTTTCTTACCGCACCACACCGTCCACTTCTACAGGGAGAAGCCCAGCTGAACTTCGCTGGGGGTGCAAACTTACTACGAAGCTTGACCGGTTGCATCCGGACAGACTGCCTTCATCTACCTCACATCCTAGGGCACCTAGACAACTACTTGTGGGTGCCCCGGTTTGGACTCGCAATTACGGGCCTGGTCATACATGGGTCCCCGCTTCTATTTCCAGGGTCACAGGTCCTCTCTCCTACGAGGTAGCCCTGGACAACGGTCGTGTCCTGCGTCGGCACATCGACC